CCCACCCACCACTGAGCCACAGGCGGTGTGGGGAGAAGCAGCTCCCCAGCCCTCCTTCATGTTAAATTATTTACAGTAACAGATAGTGCATCCCACTATGTAAGCTTTGATTTATGTAACAGGTTTATATCCCTGACACTGTAATCATACTCCCCAATCTCAGCAGGTAACTGAGAGCTCCCTTGGAAACGAAGCTCCGGCACAAACACAAAACTCAGCGAGAAATTGCACGGGGCTCCAAGCGGCAAGCGGGAGGCGAGCTGGGGCCGGAGGGCTGCTCCATGCATTATTCATCCCAGCTTGTGTGCATGTGTCTGCTCCCCCCAGGTCTGGGGACAGCGTGTAAATAGATTTATGAGTAGAAAGGCAGCACATTAAACAGTTTAAGTGTCTTGGAGTCCATCCTGAAGTGTATTATTGCTCCAGTGTTTTATCACGCTGTGGAGGACCGGTCTCCATAAATTAGCCCCGGTGCTGTAAATCGCACAGATCGGAGTTTTAGTCAAGAACTTGGGTAAACAGTTTGTGACAGCGACTGTCACCAGCCTGCATACCCACGGACCACCAGGGAGAGCAAGTCCCAACGTGGCTGGGGCATAGGGCAGTGGGGCCAGGGCTCTGCCCATCATCCCTGGCTCGGCTGGGAGAGCAGCCAGCAGAAAAGGGGCCATGCCACCCAGCCCGGGGGACCCGGGAGAGCCCAGACCCCCAGTGTGGCTCCCTTCCTCTTCCCAACGCAGTGGGGACATGGAGAGGGTGGGCTGGCTGGGTGCATGCAGGGAGGGGGGGTGGGTGGTGTTTGGGAGAAGGTAATGATGTCTAGGGGTGGATGGATGGAAATAGTGATAAAATAATACGGGCAGGTGGGTAGATGGATACATACAGTGATAGAAAAATGTATATGGATGAATGGGTCTGGCGATGGAAAAATCATGGCTGGATTTGAGGATCGACTGCTGCCTCAGCGGCTGGGGTGGATGTGTGGGCAATCACTGCTGCTGCAACAGCGAGCCTTTTGCATTTGCCTTATCAGCATCTCTCCCATGCAGCCCATCTTGCTCCTCTCCCTCAGCTCCCCTTTTCCCTCCATCGTCCCCAACTGCCCGGCTCGTCCCCCCATGCCTCGCTGGGGCCAGCCCCCAGCCAGAGCTCAGTCCAGCGTCTGATCCGAATGGGAGATAAATGTCACCCAGAGGCACAAGTGAAGCCACTGATGGAAACGTGCAGCTTACACTGCGAGGTGACAATATTTCACCTTATCAGCACTAAGTGCCGTGATAACCCATAGTTATTGCTGCTGCCTGGTGCCAACCTGCGCAGCACTGGAGCATCCCACGGCCTCTCCAGGAACAGTGACAAAGTGTCTTGTCCTTCTCCTGACAGATCTCAGGGAGAGGCACACGTGGACTGAAGCCACCGAGGGGATGATGCTTGGGATGGGGTGGGCTTGTGTGGCACATCAGCTCAGCCACCAGCCCCAGCTCATCCAGCTCCAGCCTGCACCACTATTGGGGTCAGCACCCCTGGGGAGAAGCTCAGCCACTCGCTAGGGCCATGAAAGCCCCCTCCCCGCACCCACCTTGATGATGTCTTCATTGTTGGACTTGCACTCGACCATAGCCGAGACATCCACGATGACACCGCTCAGCTCAATGGCGATGACCTTCACAGGAATGGCCACCGTCCGCCCCGTCAGGATGGCCGTGTTGATGATTTCTGTGTCCTGGGTACAGGGCACAAAGGGGACTGTCACATTAGAGTGTAACCTGTCCCTGATCCCAGCTGGCCCCCCTCCTGCTCCAGCCCTGGGGCACAGAAGGACCCATGTGTGGGTGGGATGTATGGATGTATAGGTGCTACAGGGCAGATGGGCTGGTGGGAGATCCCTCAGGGGGACCCAACCCATCCCCAACATCAAACCAGATAAGCTAAGCAGAGGGCAGGGACACGACTCCAAACCCACTCACCATAGCCAGGGGCACGATGGCCCGGATGTCCCTCTGGATGACTGTCAGCTCCGTCACCACCTTCTCCAGGTCAGGCGGGGGATTCCGGCCCCGGTAGTTGATGTGCCACATGATGCGGCGTGTCACCGACTGGCTGGTGAAGTTCTCCATCTCAAAATCCAGCTGCATGATCTCGGAGGAGGAATCCCCATCCCTGGGCAGGAGGACAGGAGGGGGGATGCAGTGAGCTGGGTGCCCTGGGTCCCGCAGACACCTCGGAATCAGCATCGGATGGTCCCCTCTAGTGATGCAGAGCATCCCCAGCAGGTCCCTTCTCGGGGTCCTCCTGCCTGCTGGGGGTACCATGCTGTGGGTGCCATCATGATGCTTGTTCCCAAACACAGCAGTCCTGATCTCCCCCTCTGCCAGGGACTGCTCCAGTGGGAACCTGCAGTTCCCATGGGAATCTTCCCAGTGGGAGAGAGAAATGTATTTCGCTGCCTCTCCCCAGGGGGGGAAAAACCTCAGTGGCTCAAGCGGACGCTCTCCCAAGGCTGCTGGGTGATATATTATCACAGGGTGAGTGTGTGGCCACAGCCCCGGGGGACAGCGGGTGGCTGCAGGCATTGCCCTTGTCTCCCCGGCTGTCTTCCCAGCAGTGCGGCTGGATTTACCACCCCAGGCTGCTCCCGCCTGCACACTCATCTCCCACAGGTCAAACCCCAAGTGTCCCACACCCAGGAGGACAGCACACCTGGGGACAGCAAATAAGTCCCTATACAAGAGCCCAGCTCAAGCTGTTGATTTTACAGCCCCTTCCAAGGGGATCACATGGGGAAACTGAGGCACGGGAGAGCTAGCAGACAGGGAGCAAACCCTGGGGCGTCCCCAAGGTGGGACGGGATGGAGAGGCTGAGCACTGCCAAACCCCGCACATAGTGCCAGTCTAAGAGGACAAGGGGACTCAGCAGCTGGTGTCCCTTGTCCTTGCATCACGGCTTGGACATGGTGAGACAGCAGCAGCATAAATCGCTCTTACACCCCATCCCTATGAGCAAACCTCCCCAGATGCGATCCTGCCCTCCCACCTCTGTGTCCAACCTGCAAATCCCTTGGGGGGACTCAGGGTTCAACCCCCCCACCAAGTCAAACTTCTCCAATGCTCCCCCAAAACGGAGCATCCCCAGGGGACACCCCAGAGCCCCTGTGAACAGCAGAGCTGGCAAAAGCCCTCCCAGGGCAGGAGGAGGGAGGGGGGAAGGAAAGGTGAAATCCCTGCGGAAGGGGAAGCTGGGACCGGCCCTGCTCTCATCGCGCCATGTAACAGCTGTCAAGAATGTCCCATCGATCTGGGGATGCAGGATACAGTCGGGTTTCTCTCTGATAAATATCTAATAAATATGAGTGAAAGGGAGCAGAGAAAGGGGACAGCAAGAAGCCGGGGCTGCTCCAGGCCACAGCAAGCCCTGCTCCCTGCTCCCACGGCAGGGATGACGGGCTTTGCAGTGGAGCTGCCGCGCAAGGGCTGGTGGGGTCCTCCTGGGACTTTGTGTCCCCAAGGCAGCTACGGGGGTGCAAGGGTTATCGCCAAAGGCCACCCAGTCTGAAGAAGAGGATTTGGCTGCTCACTGCCTCTTCCGATGCAGAAGTATTAAATACAACCGGGAAGAGCCAAGTTCAAAAGCAAACCAGAGCTGCGGCTTCATGGCAGAGGCGGTTCAGCACTGGGACTCCTCGCCATAGGGTGCCCCCCAGGTGTCCCAGGAGCCCTGCCAGGGGCCAGCCACCATCTTCTGCCCTCCCCGAGCATTGTCTGCTCTCAGCCATGGCAGACAAGAGCCAGGCTGCCCAGATTGGGGGAATAACTTAGGATGCAGCTGCTGGGGTGCAAAACATCCAAAATTGGCCATCATCACCCCAAAGCTTAGGGCCCTTGCCCCCTCCCCGTGCAGCCAGCGCTGCCAAAAGCCCCCAGAGCCCCGGCGAAGCAAACTCCTCCAGCTGTACAGCCTGGAGGGCAACACGGCTTTGAGTCATTCATATTTTCCATTCTGTTAATATTTGATGGAGTTGTTTGTCTAAAAGGTGATTGTAATCACTTTAAATTCATCCTCCGTCTCTAACATTTCCAGGCTGATTTGAAGCGGCGGTGAGCCAGGCTGCCCAGATTGGGGGAATAACTTAGGATGCAGCTGCTGGGGTGCAAAACATCCAAAATTGGCCATCATCACCCCAAAGCTTAGGGCCCTTGCCCCCTCAGCCAGCAGCCAGCGCTGCCAAAAGCCCCCAGAGCCCCGGCGAAGCACCAGCTGTACACCCTGGAGGGCAACACGGCTTTGAGTCATTCATATTTTCCATTCTGTTAATATTTGATGGATTGTTTGCCTTTCCATTCTGTTAATATTTGATGGAGTTGTTTGTCTAAAAGGTGATTGTAATCACTTTAAATTCATCCTCCGTCTCTAACATTTCCAGGCTGATTTGAAGCGGCGGTGGCAGACAGGGAGAGGGGGAAGGGGGAGAGGAGAGGATCTCGCTGCCAGCAGGTCTGGCAGCTGCGTGCAGGGGCTCTGGGGTGGCCGTGCAGAGGATGGGGGGGGCTCGTGGCCCCAGGGACACTCCGATGTCAGCCACGGGGCTGCGGGCTCGGATGCTGCAGTTGCATTTTGTATCTGGAAGCAATGGTGTGGGGTAAAGGAGAATCCACCCTCCGGGTAAGCCCTTTGGAGGGGTTTTCTGCAGATAGCTTTTGAGCTCACATTCGAAGCAGTCAGAGCCGAGGATCTCCTTTCTGCAAGAGCTCATCCCCAGTTTCACTCAGTTTTGGGGTGGGGGGCAGATAGATGGGGATATTTCCAACACAGAGGGCAGGAACAGCTCAAGTGCATCAACTCGCTTTAACCCAGCTCCTGGAGACATTTGTCTCCCTGTCCCCAAAGACACAGTGATTGAGATGCCATAGCCAGGGAATAATTGCATTCTAGCACTTGAAAGTTTTTCCTGCTAGTGATTTTGAGCCCATGCCCATCCCCTGCCCTTGCTCGCTGTGTCCTGCCCACATGGATGCAAGGGGCAAAGCTGCCCCTCGCCCTTGCAGCCTCTGTGTGCTCGCAGGCCAGTCCCACATCTCCCCATCTCCAGGCTGAGCAGCCTCTGGGTTTTCAACTTGGCTTTGTGTGTCCTCACTCCTTCAGATCAATCTCATTTCTACCCCCTGGACCCTCCTCAACCAACCCGAGCCTTTCCTGAAGCCCCAGGAATAGGCACCGTCCTTGTGTCGAGCAGGGCAGAACTGACTCTGCCTGTCTCAAGTGCTGCCTTGGTTCGTGCTCCCCATCCAACACTCATCCATCACCTTGGGGTCCAGACGGGACCTTGCCTGGGGACTGCTTCCCTTCCTTCCCAGAGGAGACACCAGGATAGTCAGGAAAGAGCTGCTGCCTCTCATGGTATTAAAACTTCTTAAAAAATTAAGATACTTCCACCCCAAACTGGGCGATCCTCCACGGCTTCACAATTCAGCCCCAAAATCCACCACATGTGCCTACCAACATCCGACACGGCCAGGCGATCCCAGCTCAGAGCCAGGGATGCAGCTGCTAAATGGTACCGATGACTTACAAGCGCATTGCTTGAGCCCCAGCTTGGTCACCTGTGTTGACCCAGAGCAGATCCCACCTGAATGTACCACCTCACACAGCCCTTGGGCAGCTGCCTGCCTGACCACAAACCTGCCCACCTCGGGCCATGAAACCCACCTTCACCTGGCCTTTAGCTAGCTGCACGGTGCCGGCCGAGGTTAAAAACCACACACAAAATTAAGCTCCTTCCCATGTTGGTGCGGGACCTACCTCAGCTGGGCTGAGGGTTTGACCCCAAAATTGCTTATCCCCCTTCGGTGCCTCCAAGTCTCACAGTCCGGGCCATGCACTGCCATGCCTCAGTTTCCCCTGCCAGCACCCATGTGGCACTGCAGCCAACCAGACACCCAAGGTGAGGGTAAAGGGAGAACTGCTCCGGGCCAAACCCCAGCAATTTCCCCAACCCTCCCGGTGCTGGGGTGGGGGGAGAGGGAGGGGTCGCCTACCTGGGCCTGGCACCATCCGCCCTGGCCACATCGACGGTAGCGGTGGAGTGCTTGCCGCCCGTCAGCAGCTCTGAGCTCACCAGCCACTGCCCACTCCTCGACTTGGTGCTGAGCAGGTTGACGCCTTTCTTGGCCTTCACCCTGCAGAGAGCGACGGTCAGGGCCGGACCCTCATGCCTGCACACCCCTGGACCCCCCCTGGCACCCTGCCGTAGGCGCAGGGGGATTTTTTGCCCCCGATCCCTCCTGGCTGTTGGAAACATCATCCAGGCTGGAAACACCAGCCATGGGGCTGAAACCACCCCAGCCCCTCTTTTTCATAGGATTTTGTATCCCACATCACCCCTCCAGAAGGAGTTTGGTCCCCCAGCCCCAGTGCTGTCCCCCAGGACAGTAACGTCCCTGTGGGTCTGGGCATCCCCAGGGCGAAAGACAGGAGAGCCTGGCATGCCGTGTCCCCCATGCCAGGGGCTCGCTGCTGTCCTGGTGGCCACAGGGACACTTGTAAATGTCCTTTGAAGAGATGTGGCTGGGGGTCATCCCCCCATCCTTAGGGACATGCAGCAAGGGGAGTCCCCCCACACACCTCCCCGTATTGGGGTGCTCAGTACTAGGAGGTGGGTGCAGGGGTAGGATGGGGGGGGGACGGACATGGGGAGCCCCTGCTCTCTCTGGAGCAGCGCCATGGCCATACTGCACCTTGTCCCCAAAGTGGCTGTGAACAAACCCACATCTGCTGGTGGGGCCCTAATCCCAGTGCAACTGGGAGGGCGAAGGCAGCAGTCCATAGCAGCAACGCAGAGATGGAAACCCTGGATGGACAGCCCTTCCCTTCCCTCCAAGAAGCTCCTACTGCAAAGCCCCAAAACATTGCAAAACCACATGCCGGCAGCTCCTCTGGCCTCCCTCACCTTCCGAAAGCCCTCAGACACAGTCCAGCCCCCAGCAGGTCCCCTAAATGCAATACGCCCTCCCCATCCTCTCCCTCCTGCCCGCAGCTGCCTTCGCACAGCCCAGCTGAAACAACCACCCCCTCAAAAGGCGGCTGCTCCCAGATTGGGGACAGCCCCAGGACCTTACCTGAGTGTGAAGTGCTCCACCGTGGAGTTGGACATCAGGTAGAGGAGGATGCTTAGCACCTCGCCCGGCTTGAGGGGCTTGTCGGGCAGGCGTATGAAGACGTTGCCATCCAGCCGATGCTCCTGCATGGGCTGCCCAGGGGTGGGCTGCAGGAGGCTGATGCTGCCAATGCGCAGCAGCGGGTGCTGCGTGGGACCCTCAGTCCTGGCCCCCCCGGCCCCACGGCGGGGGGCCATCTCCCCAAGGCACTGACCGGCCCCATCGGGGGCATGCAGGGTGTAGTACAGCTCGGCTTGCTGGCTCTCACCTGGCACCTCCAGGCTCTCAGGGCTCTTCCGCCTGCCCAGTGGCACGGCCGGGGGGCCGAACCAGGCGTGGGGCAGCTCTGCCTGCACCAGGCACGTGGCCAGGCTGCCCCGCAGGCGACACGAGCTCTTGATCTCACGGGCATCGCGGAAAGCATGGAGCCGCACGCAGGGCAGCCGGTCGGTGACGTCAAAGTCATCCCAATCCCGGCCGGCTACATAGAAGAGCACTTGGACCACGGGCTGGTTGGCCACCAGCCGGGGCTGGATGATGAAGGCGCGCACCTTCCAGTTGACGGTGAGGCGGTCAGGGACCTCCAGGGTGCTGGAGGGCTGCAGCTGCTCTTTGGGCAGCACCAGCCCCGTGCTGAAGGGCCCCAGGGTGACGTTGAGGACAGGCAGCTCCTTGGTCTGGAAGACAACGAAGGGCTCGGCGCGCTGCAGCGGGGCACTGCCGTTGCCCACTGGGCCAGCTCCCACCTCCTTGAGGAAGAAAGCCAAGCGGGTATTGGACAGGCGGTAGCTCACAGGCAGCATGACGGTGCCAGGGGGCTCGGCAGGCTCGGGGCTGGGGGCTGGTCCCTTGGCGTGGGCTGCAAAGGGGATGGAGAGTGCAGGTTAGTGCAGGGCATCCCCCCCCAGAGCATATCCCGAGCCCCGGAGCAGGGAGAGCAGACCCAGGTGGGAGCGGTTCAGCCCCACAGCGAGAAGGAGCTGGTGCTTCAGCCCCGGGACCCCTCACAAGGGCAGCGAGAGCCTGGTTGGGTTTCTCTCCTGCAAAAAAAATTGTGAAAGACCTCCCCAGGGACCTCAGGCATCATTGTGCTTCCTGGCGGGTGGCTCCAGCCTCACCAAACCTGCCCTTGGAATGGGATGGAGCGTATGCTGAGGCGGGATGCTCAGGGGCTGCCCAAGGCTGGGCCAGGATGTGTTGAAGCCATATCCAACCTCGGTATTGCCCCTGGGAAGTCCAAAGCACTGGTCACCCACCTTGGCACCCATGCCAAGTCACTGGCCAAAACAGCATGGACCCACTCATAGAAATAGGGCATAACTGGCTACATCCCTACTTCCAAATGCACAGAGAAAAGGATGCCCTGTTTATCCAGAGGCTCATTACCAAAAATAGGGCAGGTCCAGGCTAATTTTTGGCTGGCAGATCCCACCAAGTATCAAGGCTTTCCTCCTGCTTTTAGCTCCCAGATCACACGGGGAAGGTGGCTAAATCGGCTCCTTCCCCCCAGACCCTCTCCATCCCTGTGGACTGCCTGTAAGGGTGGTGTCACGGCCAGTCTGTCACCCATCACCCACTCAGGGCTGCCACCCATGCGCTGCTGTCCCCGTGTGCCAAAGCTGACCCAGCCTCAATTTTTCCAGGCAAGGACACAGCCTGGTGGAAAAGTGATGAAGATGATGTTGGTGCCACCTTGTGCAAACCCCAGCAGCGCCCAGGTCTGACGGCCCTTAGAAAACCCCTTTTGCCCTTCATTTTAACCATTTTGCCTTAAAAAAAGAATAAATACCATACAGGCAGAGCAGGCAGCCCCTGCGCAGGCAGCACGCGGTGCCTGCCGGCCACACGCTCCCAGGGGCCGGAGCT